AATTATGCAATATGATACAATTGCGAGAATCAGTTACTAGGAAATTTAGTACAATAGCTTGCAAAATTGCGTATTATAATAAGTATATATTGCATAATTTTAAAACTTTGTTTATCATTACATAAGCATAATTAATTATGTGCTGTGACAAGCATTAACTTTTTATCCAATACTATGAATTGTTTTTATGAAATGATTATTACGGATTTTAACGTACTTATTACTGCTTATAGTGAATTTCGAAGCAAGAAAAAAAGTTGAAAATTAACCACGTAGTTAACTTGTAAATCTGTTTCCCAATCGTAACGATCATCATAGCTCACTTTTAATCGTTTTATTAATTTCAGGAAACATTTATGAATCATTGCATAATTTGGACGGTTATAACAATTTAAGCTTCGCAAGTGAGGAATCACTGGATGCATTTCTACTGCAAGCCATAAAATTACTTGAATTTAACACAATAAGTTTAACAAAACGATAACACTACAAATCACACCTTTTATGCATATTTTACCTTTTTTTTTTCGTATTTATCTAATTGTTTAATAAATTTATCTTCATGACGATTGACTTTAGAATGATATTTTGACCAAATGACCTCTTGTATCTTGTTGAATCTCAAAACTTGAAATGAGCTGATGGAATTAACTTGGAAAATGACGAAGTAAATCCTTATCGCTTATATTCATTTTATTAATCTCCAATTGGTCCTTATCTTTTTCATACTGCCAAGGTAAACCACAATGCATTTCTATAAGTAAATACATCAATGACCAGATATCGTCTTTTCGACCCTGTAAGCATTCAATTTTCATTCATGTATCCATGTATTGCGGACGTGAAACTTCATATTTGTAAAGTTTTAATCTCTTATAAATTAAATTTTATTTTGTGTTTATCAGAAAATATTGCAATTAAAAAAGCTTTTTAATTTATACTCTTTTAAAAACGAGCATAAAATCAAATTTTCTCACTGCAAAATTAGAAAATATAAGGCAACTTTATACGATAATTTGGAATAATAAATTACTAATTTTTGTAATTATGCAAATTTAATCTTTTTTGTATTTTTCAGATGGGAACATGTATACTATCAACTTGTTCTTTTCTCTCGTGTACTGATGGAGAGCAGTATCGCAACGTGCCACGAAATTCTGCGGAACGTCGAGCCCTCCGTGCAATCCAGCTGCCTCGATGTTTTTCAAATGCGTAGTTTCTGAAATAGTTATATTACTGCAAGAGTTATTTTTGTAGATAGTAATCAAAATTTTATTCAACTTTTTATAGTTTTGCAAAAAGTATTTCTCGTTTTAAAAAAGTTATTTGGTTTTAATTTAAATTTTATTTTGTTTTTAATTCAAATATATCACTTATGTTGGCTTTTTAACTTGCCATTTATCAAAATTGAGTTCAATAGACCGTAAAAACCGTTAAGCATTGTCTTGTTAAAAAATTTCTTCAAATTTAAATTTACCGGGCCAATCCAAAATCTAAAATATGCACACATCTTGCACGTTCTACGTCTTGTTCATGACCCATCACAAAGTTTGCAGGTTTAATGTCACGGTGGATAAAGCCAACATCATGCAGCAGTTTTATGCTGTACAAGCACTGTACACCAATTCTCGACCACGTTCGCACCGATATGCGTTCCTCTGGGCAAATTAGCTGAAATACGTGGTTTCACATATTTTATTGCTATTAATCAGCTTATTAATCAATTCATCTGAATACACACGAAAGACTTGATCACAGTAAAATTTTGAATTCATAACAAATAAACAATCAAAAAATTCTGAAGAAATATAATTTATTTAATAGGTTATAAAGTAAAAACGTGTGCATGAATTTGCAAATATGCTAAAAGCAAACAGAAAGGTCCTAAATTTCCACGTTATCTTCATTGTAGCAATTTTCGAGATTGTTAGATGCAAACATTTCAAGCAACTTTTAAAAGTTGAAAATTTTAATTTTCACAAAAATAATCATTTCGTTCATAATTATACAATCTTTCATGTCTATTTTGAAGAGTGAATTTACTTGAACTGCTACTTTTACTTCAAATTACCATACTAAATATTATAATTGATTATAAACTAATTACTAGTAAACTCAAACAATGTTATACAATGCTTTTTTGTTATATAAGTTATTAGATAGTACTCAAATTCAATTACTTTGAGTGTTCGAAGGTTTTCGCCAAGTAATGTAACAATCATATACGAAAACCGTTTATGTTTTGCAGCATGATAAAGTTTCATCACGTGTGACTTTTCTCCATCACGGTTTAAAAAGTTTATTATCATAATCTGAAACAGAGCATCTAATGAGATTAGCAAACTGAAAGCTAATTTTGAGCAAAATAATTATTCTATCATGATGCAAATCTTACAATCTACATTATCGTCGGAATTAGTTATAAATACCACTTTTGATGATCATGTGAAGTTTAATTTAGTCTCAACGGACTTGCATTTCAAAACACTGAGAAGTTCCACGCTACTTTTATTACGACATTTAGACTAGCAAAATGCATTTTGTAAAATTTATCAAACAGTAAAATAAAATCTACCAATTTTCGCAAATTCAGAAAATTATAACACATAGCTCATATTAAACAGTTAAAGATGCTAGACAGAACATAAAGCAGTAATTTTTAAATTGCAGGTGAAAGGTCGAAAATTTTTAAAATCACCATGTTAGAGATGATGCAAGACTCAGTGGAGCATTTTCTGAAACTATAAAAATAAATAGATAATTATTCTTGAGTTCATTGAAGGTTCTATTCATGAGAACAATTAATGAAAACCACTTCGAGTTTAATTGCTGATCCTCCTTCAATATCATTTGATTCGGCCTTCAATGCCGCATATTGATGCGGAAAATTTATATGCTCTACACGATAAACTTTCCCAAAACCACCCTCGTCCAATTTATTTTTTATCCGCCATCTCCCGAATCTAAGCATATATTTTCATATTACACTTTGATTCAGACTTAACTGGTCCATGTAAAAGTCTAATCGTATGAAAACTTCAAGCTATCAATGTTGCACACTTTAGCACAGCATGCGATCTTGTGGTTTCAAATTAAAACACTATGAAAGCATTTGTCCTTTTAATGACAACGGAATAAATAGAAAA